GTCGTTTCTATGGAAACTGATTGAGATTATAAGCAAAAAATTGCATCTTCACTGCAGAGAGTCACGCAACAAGAAAAGTTTAGGAGACAGCTTTACTCCCACGCAAATATTCACCAGAAAATGTTTACATTTCTTTAGTGGGTATTGCTAATTATTACAAAGGAAATTGCTTCTCGCATAAATGTAATGTGCCTATTTTTCAAGTTTTGTGTAACTGAAATTCCCTTTTTATAATTTTTTCTTTTATAACAAATGTGGGGTTTTTTAATTAAATAATTTTACAGGCAGCAGGCTTTACAACAATAAAGAAATAATTTCCATAATGAGTCTTCCTGCAAAATGTAATCTGTTCCTGGGGATCACACAGAACTGGGAAGGCAGCCAGTTCTATGAATAAAAGGAGCAAGAGAGTGCATCACTGATCAGCTAGTCACAGAAGAAAAATCAAGGAAGTCAAATAGTGAGGTTAGGAATGTAGCAATTCAGGTGACTGGCATTGTGTTACAAGGTCAGCGAGAAAAACTGGCGATAGCAGCCCTGAGACAGAAAATCAAGCACCAAATAACCCTGCAGAGAATACTATATTCCAAAAGGAAATAGTGTACGCTCATTAAAACGGGAGTAATAAAATCAGAGGACTTGGATTTGGATCGGGATGTACTCTGCAGCATTTTGAAATGTCTGCAGCATTCAACTGTCAGATTTACGTATACTGATTAAAAGGGGAATTAAACTACTCAATACATGAAATTACAGTGGAACAAATCAATTCAGCTACAGAATCTATTTCTAAAAAAAGGCAAGAATATAGACTAAGCATGCAAATAAAAGAACTTACAAATCTGTTTGATACACTAGTCAAACAATGAAGTATGATCAAATTAAACTCCAGTATCCTGTACCCTACCAAGCTGATCAATGCACTTTTAGACAGCTTGGCTGGGGAAACTCCCTTTTCATTACGTTTTCCCAATTTTGTTACTCAAGCTAGGGATGTGAAAAGTTAACCGGGAAGGGCTAAAGAAGCCTCTGTCTGCAGTGGACCCAGGCTCTGGCCCTACCTCCGCGCGGGGAGGGGGGGGGTGCTACTCCAGCCCACCAGCAAGTCCCTATTTCACATCCCTGTTACCCACTGATGAGGTGAAGACAAGCTCTAAGCAGAGTTAGACAGCACAAATGTTATGAAGTCACCAAGCAGACCACTGCTAACACCAGCAGAAGCAATGAAGAGAAATTTTAGATATAAAAATTAATGCAGACACAATGTCTTGGGAGGGTCTACTTTAAGTCTACTTTAAGTGCGTGTCTTTTCTGCTGTATGTCTCCTAGATAGGGCTGCTGCAAATCAGAGACAGCTGATCTTACCTGAGTCTGCCCTGGAGCTTTTTAAAAGGAAGCCCTCCCTGGGGGGAGAGAGGACATGGAGTGAGAGGAGACCAGAGCAGGCTAAGAAAGGTAAGGGCAACTTTGCCAGAGCTAGCCGGGCGGGAGGTGAGGGGCTCCAAACAGGGATTTCAGACCCACCTTTTCCTGGTAGCCTGAGAGCCCAGCTGAGAGCTGGAGAAGACTGTTCTGACAGCCCAGGCTGACCCCAGGGCACTGGCCCCAATGCCCTTTGTAGCTGAGGGACCAGAGCTTAAACCCTGCTAAAGGCTAATAGCGCAAGACTGAGACTGCCTGATGAAGGACCAAGCAGGCTGCTCGGACCCAAGAGTGGGGTCACTCTGCCACAACAGACATATTAATTATGCCCATTACTAGGGCTCACCAGCTGCAGAGTTTCACACGGTTCTGCACATGCGCAGGTGGTTCTGCACTGGCTCTTCCGGGTTGTAAGCTACTCGCCACGGGCAAGTAGATTACATTATTTGCCGAGCCCTGCACATTACAAAGACTCTACATAAAACACAGACCTTGCACTATATTCTAAGGCGCACACTGTAAGTAGCAACTCCGAGAGGGGTAGAATAGTACCAGAGAAAAGAGCTTTCCGCAGGGAGAATCTCTCTGAAATCTGATGTGTGAGGAAAATGGGGCTAGGAGCTGGGTGACTCTCAAAGTATCAGGATTCTCAGACACAAACACATAAAGGGATTTACTTTCTCCAAGTGTGTCCCTGACTTTCTAAACTCTTCTGCACATGTCAAAAAGCAAAAACAAAACTCTAAAAGCAAATAATCCAACTTAAAATCTGCCAAACTGCCTATATCTGGTTATTGCTCAGCTTTTCTGGTTAGAAATGCTTTATTTAGCTGGAAACATTTTACAGAACTAATAAAACGTTAGAAATTTTGAAATAGCTTGCATTCTTATGAAATGATCACAGCTGTGCTCCCTAATTCCACAGGAATGCTGCCTAGAGAGACATTTCCATAGAATGCCAATAAGCAACTGCTGTAAACACCCAGATGGCTAATTTTATCAAAGAACACAGAGGCTCTGGCTTACACGGCAAGCTCTACTTTTTATTGCTCACAACGACTGTGAAACACCCAGAAAAATGCCAAATTCCTGAAGTCGCAGAGAAGCATTATACAGCAATAACCACCCCGCCGGGTCTGTTCACACTTCCCTCAGAATATCCATTTGCACCAAACCATCCTCATTTGCCACAGTGATGTTTCCAATTCCTTCAGTTGTATCTGAGTCTGGGAATCCAGAAATGGGTTTGTCCATGTCCTGGCGGCAAAACTACTACTAAGAGATCGTTACGGTTGGCTAAGAGGAGCCACCTCTTGGGTTTTCAATCACTTATTCTTTTGCACAGGTTGTTTTGTTTTGATTGCTGTGCCCCTTGATCTCAGCTACCACACTGAGCAAATCTTTGCTCTCCAGAGTCATGGTAGCACAAATCCAGTTGCCTCCATCTTCCTCTGAAGCCACACTGAGCTCTGCTAATCTGCCCTCTAATCTTTCTGTGTGAGTTTGGGTAGAGAACGCTGCAGAAAAAAGAGCTGCCTGGTCTGCACAAGACTTGGTTTCTCTAAGGGAAACACAAAGGAAGAATCTCTCCCATACATCAGGGCAGGGGTGGGGAACCTCAGGCCTAGGGGCCGGATGCAGCCCTCGGCTTGCCTGGATCCAGCCCCCGAGGCTCAGAGCCCCCTCCCAGCATTGGGGAGCCCATGCTGGTGCTCCAGCCCCAGGAGGCAGCATGGGGGCTGGAACACACAATCTACTAGGCTGGCCCCCTCTAGGCTCTGATGTGAGAGGTATGTGGGAGTGTCTTTCTGCTTCTCAGACACAGGCCACAGCGAAGGGTTTTTCTCCACTTCTCACTTGTATGTGGTCCCCGACTGATTTTTCTGAGAGTCAGTGGCTCCCCAACCCAATACAAGTCCCCCACCTTTGCATGAGGGATTCATTTTAAACCCCTGTTTTGGCTTTGAGCTATTTCCTGTGGTTTTTAATATAGTTCTGATTTTGTTAAGACCATGAATGGAATACTACTTCCATTTTATCCTTCGTGCCTTAGCAAAAAAGTTCCACTAGAGACCAAACCATATGCAAGAAGAAAACACAAAGTTTCTTCTGAAGGCAGGAAGGAGGGGAAGAGGAAAGTGAGCCTGGGGGGCAAACGGCACAAACACACACTGCTTGGTGGCCTAACAATAATTTGCAGGCTCCTGTATATTGGATACATTTTTTTATGATTAATCTTTATTTGATTTTCCAGAGCTAATATAGGCAGCACAGAGAAAACTGTCATAAAAGAAGAATTAAATTACATACTGTAAAACTGTGTCAGTCCCATGGGAATGAGTAGAGCGCAAGCCATTATTCAACAATACGGGATATGATGCCCGATGCATCTGAGCATTCACAGAACAACTGGTGGTCAGTTGTCCCTACGCTGCAGGGGCAAAAGGAGAGTGCGATGCCCGGGGGCTGTGGGAAGAATGGAAGCCGTGGGGTCACTACAGTTAGAGCCTCACCCAGTTTAGCTCTTATGCCCTTTCTGAGCAGCAGGCAAGGCGCACGCGCTTACCACCAGGCAGACTCCCGGCTCAGAGGGGGAATATCTGTTGAGCTACACAAGATCAGTCCCCCAGGGAGCCAAAGACAAATGTAAAATTCAGCCAAGTTCTTCCTACACACACCTACAGTAACAGAGAGGAAATGACCACTCAAAAGTAATGACCAGCACCTAGACTTAACCTCATACCCTCTCACTCCGGCAGGAGACGTTATCCACCAGAAAGATCTACAGGGGTGAAAAGCTTGGTTTCTGCTCTTCCTTTTTAAAATCAGTCCTTCAATAATTCTCTTTGCTTGTGAATTACATCGAAATTACACAATCTCTGCTCTAATTACACAATAAGTCAGTGATACCAGACAACAAAGGACAGGACTGAGCACTTATTGATGGAATAAATATTTTCTTCTGTATATTAAGAAATCAAACTTAATAAAATGTTCTGTTTGCTCTGTCTCTTTGCCCACGTTGGCCTGAGACAGTAACAGTCAGCTCCAGGTGTCCAGACATGGAAGCTACGCTGAGCCGGCTGGCTGTCAAGGGAGGAGAGCTAAGTGCCACGCTGCGCACCCATAAGGGAGAGCACCAGGGAAGGAACTCTGAATAATTTTAGAATTATGACAGGTGCGGAATTGTGCATCCTAATAAAATTGCTACAGGTTGTACCTCCCCAAACTGGGACTCTCTGGTCTGCAGCATCCATGGTCCAGGATAACCTTAACGGTACCTGGTGAGCAGCCCTACTAGGCCCCCATGCAAAACTGGCAGAGACCCCCGCCCTCCCGTGCAGCCCCTCCCTCCCACCACAGGCAGCAGATGTCTATTAAATGCTAAATGCTTCCCCCCCCCCAACCTATATTTCCCTAATATGTTGTAGCATTAGAAAAAAGTGTGAAATCCTCAAATAAATGTGGTTAGATAAAACCCTGTTAATTTCAGATCAGTCCTCTAGCCATAAAACCCTTTGTTATGTCTAATCATTTAAGGCTTCAATTCTTAAGACTGGATGTGTTTTCTGCTTTACCTTGGGGTTAGTTCTCTGCTGAAGTCTCCTTTCTTCCCTCTCTCTCTGCAAACGTTCAAATTCTTCTCTAATTTCAGCCGGAGTTCTTCTCCTCTCCACAACCTGTGCACAAAGGAATTAACTGGCAACAGAACCTCCAGCCAACCATCACAGATAATTTAATCACTACTGGAATTTAGAGAAAACTAGTGTTTTTCAGTCCCTCTTTAGAGACCATTCCCTTTCATGTCACAACAGGACTTTGTTTCTGTACTCCATTGCTACATCAAAGATACTGTCGTTTTTATTAATTACTTTATTTAGAGTTATAATTTATGCACCTGTTCCTGGCCCAAAGCACTTTTTACACAATTAAAAAACCATAATACAAACAACAAAATTCTGTCTAGTTAGAACCTGTATGTATTTCAGAGATCTGAGAAGCAAAATGTCTGAGGTAATCTCTTATCACACGATCTTCTGTGGTGAAAGAGGTAAGGAGTTCTTCATACCTGGGAAAGGTACTGGGCGACACAGCTAACTACAAGATGGAATAGATTGTTCTGCATTAGGAATTAACACATATTGAAAGAGGCCATTCAAGCTGAAATGGGCAGCTAACACTTCTGCCCTCCTAGAACAAAGGAGGGTTAGTAGAGGCCTCAAACACATATGGAAAACCAGCTACTGGGTAGTGATAGAGATGTAGCCATGTTAGTCTGGTGTAGCTGAAACAAAATACAGGACTATATCTTCCCCAATTATCACCTCTAATACTATTAACTCGCAGACATTTCCCCTTCCCCACCTCTAATATCATTAACTCACTGGCATTCACCTTCCTTCCCACATCCCCCTTCTGTTCTGTAATGTGATTTGTCCTTTTCATGTGTGTTCATTTTTTTTAAATTGTATCCTTTGGTATATATGGTTGTGACTATTTTCTTCCATTATTTGATCTGAGGAAGTGGGTCTGGCCCACGAAAGCTCATCATCTAATAAACCATCTTGTTAGTCTTTAAAGTGCTACATAGTCCTGTATTTTGTTTCAGCTACACCAGACTAACACGGCTACATCTCTATCACTATTAAAATCTAAGCACTGTCTTGTCTGTGGTAATATTCAATATCCCTTGACAGTTTTTGTAAGGAATACTGGGTCTGAGCCTACAGACTCAAGAGGATGGTTATTTTCTACCTAACCATTTATAATGCTCCTGGCTCTGTGGTTTCTAGTTACTTTATGGCAACTGAGCAAAGCTTCAGATCTGAGGGACACTCATATCCTCCCCATCCTTTTTAAAGATACTTTTGCAGTTGGGGAGTTTCTTCCCTTATTTCTCTCCCGTTCAAGTTTGTTGTGGCCTCAGCTCTCTCTAGCTGCAAATATCTGTATACTTCCAAACACAGCACACAGATAACCACAACGGTGCACTGCATCATACACAGCACCAACACCACAACACACTCAGGCCATGGAGTTATGCACACACTAGGTAGCAACGTAGGCCTCTCACTGCCTTGGGTGTGCGATGAGTTACAAGTGGATGGCATCACCTGATGTCATCAAGGTACCAGTTGCATGTGGTGTCCACCCCCCCCGCCCCACACGTACCAAGAGAGAGGTCACATAAAAGAGGTGAAAACACTGGGCAGCCTCATGTGCCACAAGGCACAAGAGCATCAGCTCTTTGGGGAAAGGTGTTTATTTTGTTCCTCTCACCACTTGCAGAATAAGCAACGAATTTGGCCTTCAGTCTCCAAGGAAGGAAAAATACAATGGAGTTATACAGCCAGAGATCCGCCCCCAGTAGCTGTCCCATTCTCTTTTAGGGTTGTACAGTGGCCAAAGTCTGAGGATAAACACTAAACCAGTGAAATGTTGTTTATGGACACACTACACTGGTTTAAACCTGATTGAGAATGGCTTCTCTGGCACCTCTTAAATAAACTGTGTTGGACAGATTTGTCCCAGCCACTCATAGAAGGGAAGATTTGGCTCCTAAAACCGAGACGAGGCATACAGAGCTAAGGCCAGAAAATAGCTTGCTCAGCATACAGTCATGGCTGTAAGTTTTCAGCTGCAAATTCCATGGACCTGAAACAAAAATACATTTCAGTGCACTGGTGGAGCAACAAATAGAGTCAATGATTTCACAGTAACCAGCCTGGAGTAAGCAACTGAGCCAGGCAGAAGCTAGTAAAGGGGAGGGAAAGGTGCGGATAAAGCCTCTTTCACAGCACTTTACAGCTGCCCACTGAGAAAAAAATCCTTAATCTCACAGACTAGCTGATTGTGAAAGCGTTTCAGATGAAAGACATTGTGCACGAGACTGAAAAGACAGTGATGACACATTTGTCTCAGAAAAATGTTGCTTTTGCACAATATCATCTTATTAGGGAACTCAATGTCAGATTTATTGTACTATGTAGCACTATAAAGACTAACAAGATGGTTTATAAGGTGATGAGCTTTCGTGGGACAGACCCACATGAAAGCTCATCACCTAATAAACCATCTTGTTAGTCTTTAAAGTGCTACATAGTCCTGTTTTTTGTTTCAGCTACACCAGACTAACACAGCTACATTTCTATCACAGATTCATTGTACGCTTTTCAAAAAAGAAGAAACCAGCATTACTTCAAAAATCCCTCATGGGGTTCTCAAAGAGAGCGGCAGAAATGACTCAACGAGCACCTTCACACACATAGTTTTGATACAAATATTTTAAATTAGGCTGGATTTAGTCCTTTTAGTGAGATACAAACCAAAGAGTTTCTCTTACCTCCCATCCTTCCATTTCCAGTCCTCTCTTCCCATATATGTCATAAATGGCTCTTGTCTGTGGATCACTAAGCACTGCAAATTAAAACCAAACATGCTCAGAGTAAAGAACTCAGTTTTCAGTCGTTCTTTCAAAATTCCAGCATCTGTATCAATGGCAAGTTAAAAATACAAACATACACAGATACTGCAGTCCTGCTGTAATTAGACACAGAAAGGGCCTTTCTCTGCTCCAGAAATGATTTTCACTTGCTCACAGGAAATCCCTAAACACTGGATTTCCATTTCTTTAAGTATAAAAATAAGGGACAGAAACTGTGAGAGATTCAGACTAATATCATCTGCAGTGTTTAAATCACAGAAGCAGTATTTTTTAAGGCACACACCTTTTAGCTATCATCCATGGGAGCATCTCTTTCATCAGGTAAGCACATGACATGATGGTGTAGACGGAGCTTGGTCCTGCCTTGAGGGCGGGGGGCTGGACTCGATGACCTCTCGAGGTCCCTTCCAGTCCTATGATTCTATGCAGGCACTGAATCTCAGTGCACAGAGCTTTAGGATTTGGCTTGTCTAAAAGGTTTATAAAATACAGGTTGAACCTCTCTAGTCCAGAACTCTGGTCCAGAAACAGCTGTTGCCTGGAATGATTTGCGTTAGCCAGATGTCCACTTTTCATGCGAGACGCCAGGTTTCCCGTGGTTCCATAAAGTTTATTTACAGCCCCCAGTCCTGGCTCTCAGTGTTCTGTGCTGTTACTTAGCTGTTAATTTACCCCTAAATGTCCTCTAACAGCCCAGTAAGCAGTGGAAGGGTTGGTAACACTGCTAGACAAAACTGACATCCCGTGGTCTGGAAAATCCTTTAGTTCAGAACTGGTCCAGTCCCAAGGGTGCCAAACTAGAGACATCCAACCTGTACTGTGAAACATAAATACTCCCAATCCCAAGAGAGCAAAAGCAAATCGCTGACATTAGGACAGTAATTTTCCCAGCAGTGACCACCTCCCTGAAGAAAAACCTGAGGACACCTGCACCCTGCTCATCTGGCAAGGCAACAGTAAGAGGAACTAACTGCTAATAAAAAGCACAAGACTTATCGCAGCCACTTGGATGAGGTAGGACTGAAATACTGCGAACAGACAAATACAGCTACTCGGTGCATACACCTACAGTTCTGTGACAGCTGATTTTACAACCAACCTGCCCTCTACTTCAGCAACGAGCCTAGAAGCAGAATTTTGGTGCAATTACACAAATAAGGCAGAGGGTATTTTCACTATCATTGAACTGCGGCAACAGAATTTACAAAATTCCATTCAGAATAGAGCTGCAGCAAAAACAACAACATTAGGCATTAGAGTTTTGATTTTTAAAAGTCAGTCCAGACACACTTTTAGGGTTTATTGATCTCCTCTGGGGACAGAAAATATAGCATGTTCTCAGCCACAAAGCTACTTCCTAAGGAAGCTAAAGCCTATTTGTCCGGTCTCCACTAGGGCTGTAAGCGACTAGCTGACTATCCGATAAGCTTTTGCCTATCGGATAGTGGACTAATTCCTCGACTAGTCACTTCCCTGCTGTTGCTGCCTCTAGCAGAGACAGCAAGGGGAGGGGGAGCAGGAGCTGGGGGAACTGACTTAAAAGTCGGTTCCCCTCCAGCACCATCTCCACAGGGGGTAGGGAAATAGCAGGGACCAGCTGATTCCCGACTCGCGCCCAGTCCCAGACAGACTCTGCGACTCTTAATACATTTAAAAATCAGAAGCACAGCTGGGAGGGGGGTGGCGCGGAAGGGGGAAGGACATGCAGCACGAGCCAACAATCAGCTGTCTGGGCTCACACTGGATTTCCCCCTGCTGCGCTTCAGCTTTTTAAATGTATTAAGAGCCCTGCTGGCTCTTAATACATTTAAAAGGCAGAGCCGTAGCGGGGTTAGCTGCCGGGACCAACAGTTAACCCCGCTGCAGTTCCCCTGCTCATCGACTAGTCGATGGAAAATCCATTGATTAGCCAATTAGTTGATTAAACTATATTTAACACCCCTAGTCTACACACCCAATAACTCCAAAAGAAAATTAGGGGGCTACCTTCAACTTCTCAGCAAAGATTTAATAGCACAGGCAGGGTTGTTGTAAGGTCCGATATTATTGAGAATTCATTACTTTCACAAAATACATCTCGATGCATTTGCGTAATTCTGAATATTTTGGATTCTTTTTTCACAGAAAAGGACAATGATACTTGCTACAGAAAGCCTTTAAGTAGACACGATTTCCATCTTAAAGGCCTTGTTTTTCCAGAAAAACTGTAGCATTCCCTTAAAAGTTTTTTTGGGGGGGAGAACTGACAGATTCATTTGGCCTTTGCTCCAAGTTCACTTTTTTGCCATAGAATTTCTTGGAACTCCCATTTGTTTTCATTTTTCCATTTACAGGCAGTCCCCGGGTTACGTACAAGATAGGGACTGTAGGTTTGTTCTTAAGTTGAATCTGTATGTAAGTCGGAACTGGCGTCCAGATTCAGCCGCTGCTGAAACTGACCGCCAGTTCTGACTTACATACAG